CTTCTTCAAGAATTCTAGATTCTGATCCCATGTGAGCTGTTGACTCACTTTTCAACCCCTGGCAAGACCTTGCACCTCCATAATCCCAGCTGGAAAATTAGGTAAAATAAAAACATGACCTCATTAAGAAACAGATGCTTCATCTGAGCAGTGCTTTCCCAAGTAAACACATTACAGAGCTTCTTGTGACATTTTTTTAGGATGTGGTACTGTGTCCCCTTGACCATTGGTCAGTTTGGGATCAGGAGACAAGAGCTTGAAATTCTGTTTAATTTGCAGACCAAAGTTTAAAAAAACAACCAATTTCCTTGCTGAGGTTAATGTTATAAGTCAGCCCTAGTTGTACAGTAAGACCTGAGTTGAATAAGAAGCTGAACCAACGGTTACCTTTTAAGCAATGTGTCTTCATCTAGCTGCATGTTATCACGGATTTTCTAACACCGTATTCTCTTATGAATTTAAGAAAGCAAGGTGTTCCTTAAATCTGTACTGGGAATATCAAAGATAAAATTTATTTTGTAAAATGTTATCCCTTTGCCAATTCAAAAGGAGGATTTTCATGCCAGAAAAGTTGTTTTGCTATTTCTGAGCTAACAATGTAACTCAAACTCTCAGCCCTATAGACTTCGCTCTGACATAATTTATCATTATACTTATTTTCTTAGATTAATTCAAATAAACTCCTTTCTGATGTTACTTGTTGACAGACACTCAGCATGACTGTTGTATTTAAGATATGATTTAACATCTATTAAGAATAGATCAACAATGTCTAACACAATTTACACCTTAGCTTTTACTAATTATTTCAAACAGTAAAATACAGTTCTGGCCGGGCACAGTGGTTCATGCTTGTAATCCCAGAATCTGGGAGGCCAAGGTGGGTGGATCCACTGAGGTCAGGAGTTCAAGACCAGCCCAGCAACATGATGAAATCCTGTCTCTACTAAAAATACAAAAAATTAGCTGGGTGTGGTGGTGGGTGCCTGTAATGCCAGTTTCTCAGGAGGCTGAGGCAGGAGAATTGCTTGAAGCGGGGAGGCAGAGATTGCAGTGAGCCGAGATCTTGCCATTGCACTCCCGCCTGGGCAACAAGAAACTCTGTCTCAAAAAAAGAAAAGAACAGAAAAGAAATACAATTCTGAGGTATCTATCACTTGGAAAATACTCATGGATTAGACAGTTGCATTATTCTCTGAATTTCACTCTGGCTTCTGTCTCCCCTTCCCAGTTAAAATCTTATTTAACATATAAATACAGAGGCGATTACCAAGTACATCTATTACACAGTGTGCTTGGTCCTTAATTGCCTCAGGATTTTAGGTGACAAGCTTCCAATTACATCATCAAGTATTACAGATAGCTGAGGAAGATAGTATTGTAAACAAAATTGCTCAAGCAAACTGCTTTTAGATCTTTTGGATGTCCGCTGATTATAAGTGATCCTAAACACAAATATTAATTCTTCCCTAAAGCAAGACCTTACTACCTCTGCTTTGAATCCTGACAGCAGGTAGTTACCTCTAAATTCACCTCTGCCTTTTCTCTCACTAGGAGTTTCACATCCTATTTTACTGAGGGAGCTTTCTCAAATCTCTGTCAAAATGATTTTGAGTCCTCCCCGCCCTTCTCTTGCAACACTGACTCTCCATAAAGAAATCTTTCTCCTTCCAATGGTAAGGATTGCCATTCTATGTGGATTTCTGGATTACAGCCCCCTGCCTCTTCTAAAACCTCACCCTCACCTAACTCTGTTGCTCTGTATTGCTCTAAAAACTCATCATAAAGTACAATTTGATATAAACAACAAATGAATTTTGGCATTGTACACGTTTTCTCCACACTCTTTTATATTCTTCATGTGCTGTTTTACTCCCTGGGACAGGGATATCTAATCCTATCTGCCGCTAATGCTCCTGAGGTCTGCTTGTCCAAGAAATTCTTCATCTATAAACCACACCATTCATTTTAAACCTCTCTGTGAATGATTTATGAACAAACTCTTTCTGAAAAGGCAGATGTTTTCAAAGCTATTAGCTTTTCCAATTCCCCTTCACAATCCCTACTTGAAATACACAGTTGTCTGCTGTGACATTGTATCTTAAATTCCCAGGATTCTGGAATTTCTCTGGTGGCTAGCTTTCAGTATCATAGTGTGCTGTCTTTACTGTGAGCACTCCTTTAAAAGCGCTTATACTTTGTAGACTTTTGCTATTTCAAGGCTGATTTCAACTAAGAGTCAGTGTCTTAGCATAATTGCTTAGGGGCTCGAATTAGAAAATCCCACTCCTTTTGCTGTTTACAGCCTTTAGAATGTGTGTCACGTCTTTCCTGAAGAGCATCCAAACATCCCTCACATTGATCTTCCTTTTCATATCCTGTCCAGCTCCTGAAGGGAAGTCACGTGGGTCTCTCGCCATGCCCTGGTTCCAGCTACTCTGAAACTGGCTGCCTGTTACTTTGGGTGCTTAAGTGTTCTTCACATTGCCCAGGACTCTCACTGCCTATGAGACAGCATGCTTCTCCCAGACAGCTGTCAGGCTTTCTTCATGGAGGACGGAATGTTCATTCACCCTCCAAAGAGTTGATCTCTTTCAGTTGGCTCTAAGAAGTCTGTTTCTGCCTGACTTTTGGAGATCTTACAAAATTCATATCCCCTTGCTGAGGTGAAACTAAGATTTGTTCATGCTTGAAAGACTGGCAGTCTTTCCCAGTGGAATTTCTTCTATTCATCTTCAGTAGCAATCAAGCTATGACAGAAAATGAATAAATTTGGGGAGCATAAAAGTCATAATAGTATATTAAATAGTATTTAAAAAGATTCATAAATGATGCCAAAATATTTAAAAATTAAATTAACTTGCTTGCATAATTGAAACCTTTAAAATTACATGCTTCATCTCTCTGAAAGAAAAAATTGAGGTACTGTCTCAGGCCCCTCAAAGTGAATTTGGTGTCTGCTATGTGGCCTATATTTTAAATCAGAATTCTAAAATCTGCCCTCCAAATGAAGTGAAAATCTCTTGATATAATAAGTTAAAAATATGGAAAGTACTCTGTATTTATATAGATTTGGAGGGAAAAAACTGTTACTCCATCAAATAAATATAAATATCCTATGAAGTAGAATGCAGAGGTCACATTTGTTAAGTATAAAACCTGGATTCAAATACATATTATGTTGCAGAGGTCACTTGGGGACACTTTTCTTCTCTCTCTTCTATGTGAGAGGACAAAACTCAAATGTGAAATTTCCACACATGTCCCTCATTGTTAGTTGATAGATCCTCTATCTTGGAAAAGTTCAGGGAGTGCAGAGTACATTATCAACATGTATTTCATGTACTAAATAATTTAAGTCACTTTTAATAGTACCTGAATAAAAGATTCTGTTTTTATTTCTGTGAGCAACGAGTTCCTTGAAAAACTCAACTAACCACTCAAAACTCCGATGAGTCCTTGCTAACTTCCTTTGCACATTAATTAGGACATACTCTATACATAGACTATCATGCATGTTTATGCTACTGACCAAACAAAATGTTAAGCGGTGGTGGGAGGACTTCCCAGAGAAAACTTGTTAGCCGAGTAAATATTGTTGAAGTAAATATCTGAATAAATGACATAAGAATGTGGAGACTTGGAAGGTCACTGAGCCCTAGCCACTTAATTTCAGGCATAACAGCAGTCAGTTGCTCAGTGGACAATTTTGTTATGAGGTGTTGGTGATTTAACAAGTTGGCCCAAAGTAGTCAGAATCTAAAGTGAAAGATTTCATCTCTGTTGGGTTTTATTGGTGCACACTGGACTCTTTTGCTAGGATGGCCAAAGTTTTCTGCATTTGGCATTCAAGAACCCAAGGAGAATGTAGTCATCTGTTTGCTATAATGTTTTCTACATTCGTTTCAGTGGTTTATGTATGATTCTAGAAAGCTTTGTTAAAAACACTACTAGGATGATTTGCTGTCTATGTTTTAGTTTATAACTGCCCAAACTACTGTCCTAGATGTTTTAAATAGCATTTTAAGTTTGTTTTGGGAATATCATTTTATCCTTAGACTGTATGAAAATTGATCTTATATAATAAAAAGCAATGTACTTGGATTATAAGAATGTGATTATGGGCTCTGTGAAGCAATATCTAGCTTGACTGGGATTGCAGAGAACATGGTTGATAGACTTAAGCACAAAAATCTCCTGGCTGAATGGTTTTGAACAGTCACAACAATCACTTGGGAAACCAAGGTATTCTCTCTTCAAGCTCTCGAACTCCATGTTATTAGTATTTTAGACATTTTAAAATGTAAATGGGTATTTTGTCAAAATGAGCTATACATTTGTGAGAATAGGAAACATTCACAACTCAGTAAATCACTAAAAGCAATGAACGGATGAAGTAAGCTTCATTTTACATGAAACTGGAAAGTTCCTCATTTCACTTCTCGTATTTGTCTCCCCTAGTCCTCCTTTATATTAGTCACCTATTTATTTGACTAATAAAATAAGTCACTGATATTCAGAAACCATCTATTAATTGTTTGCAACTTGCACAGCACTAAGTTCAATACAGAGGCTTCAACGGTATACAGGAGCAAGTGCACTTCGATTTCATGGGGCTTGATCAGAGGAGGCAGAAAATCAGACAATCAAAATGATATGTGGTGAGGGCTATGACATAATCCCACAATTGTCTCACAAATGCTAGATTCTAAATAAGGCTTTGTTTCCACATGTCATTAAGCATATGTGATCCAGATGAATTACGGGAACATCTACGCTTTAGTTTTTTAGTTTCCATCGAAATGTTCATGCAAAGTAATTGCTGTACTAACTACATGAAACATTATTTCCCTGGAGGTCCAGTCTTCAGGTGAGAAGGCAGTTAAAGTGAACTTATCTACAATTGGTGGGAAAAAAAATCAAGCCCTAGCATAATTATCACGGAAAAATAGAAATACACAGTAATGGATTATCTGTACTTCCTCTGTTCTCTCACTTAGGACATCTACTTGGCCTCTCCCATGATGATTCCAAATTCTGTGAAGAGACCTTTGGTTCCACAGAAGATAAGCGCTTAATGTCCTCCATCCTTACCAGCATTGATGCATCTAAGCCCTGGTCCAAATGCACTTCAGCCACCATCACAGAATTCCTGGATGATGGCCATGGTATGTATCATTAAGGGCAACATGGACTGAGAAACAAAATTTGGGATTCTTAGGAGTTTGACTTCATTATATCCTCAAAATATTCATCTTGCCCTCTAAGACAATAGTTGTTTGGATAGTGCCAGAAGAAAGACCAAGGAAATTGATCATATGTGGGTATGTGCTGCCAACGTCCTTGGTGGCATTTTAACTATGGTGTTTTGGCTTTTGAATTGAAAAAGTTCAAAGGAGAGGCAGTGTGGAAGACCACACAGAATGCCTTACTAGTGCCCTGCAAGCCTGGCTTTTATTCCCTCTTTCACCACTAGCTTCCTGTGAGAACTTTGGCAGACATCTTGGTTTCCTTGCTATTAATATGACTTGCAGAAGTATTTGTTACAGGCCTATTATAGGGGTGTGGTTAAGGTGTAGCAGACAATTCTACTGGATTCTTTTTATGGCAACCTAAAGCCAGAAGAGGAAGCTTTCTAGATTTGCACTGACTAGAAGAATTTGGTTTCATCCTGATAGCAGATTCTCCTGAAAGTGGAGTAAAAACCTCAGAACAGAAATAGAAAAGAATCTGAATGATGGGAAAACATTTTAAAAACTTCAAAAGAAAATCTTTTGCTTCATCCTTTAAATACAGTTCAAGAGAACAGTGTACTTTATTAAATTCTGTAAGACTAGGATTAGTGCTGTAAATTATATGAACATACTGAGGAAGTTACAATTTTTAGAAATAATAAATCCCGACCCCTAAGTAATCTTGGAAACAAGCTGTTGCAAATTTCCTAGCATTCTTTAGTACTTTAAAATAATAAAAACACAGGAGGGTAGATCCATTGGCCTTGGAAAGAATCTTCAGAGATCATGTAGCCAAAATTTCCTCCTTTACAGAAATGGACATATTCTCATTTCTTTTATGTTCTCTTAAGATTCATCTTTCTAAAACTAGTAGTTGAATGAAATATAACAGAAATTATTAATCATAACAATTTTCTATAAAATTATCTAATGATGTATGGTTCAAAGTTGAATAAAGAGTATTTATGGAAACTGTCTTTTTCCCAGTTCCATAAAGCTTCTTATTTAATATTCCCATAATTTTTAGTATGTTGTCTTTTTTGAACTGCGGCTAAATAATACCAGAACAAATAGCAAATTAACATTATTTCAGACATAAATAAATTCGGCTGCATCGTTCTCTGATACCACGGAGCCGAAATCTGTTCATTAACTCATTTTTACTCCTTTAGTGGTGAACAGGTAAGGCTTTAGCTGCCTGTTACTACATATTTATATGTCTCATTTCCAGCTTGGTTTAAAATATATATCACTACAAAAAAATGTTCTTTTTTAGTTGAAAGAATATCTCAATAATTTAAAGACTTGGAAACAACACTAAGAATTAATGTATGAAGCTTTTCCTTTAGACCAATAATACAATGGTAATTTTATGTTCAGCTCAGTTTACATTGTGGATTAAATGTGGATAAAGTCCTAAGATGAATATTCCTTATAGTCATCCTACCTACATTAATCAGATCAATATCTCATAAAGTCCTTCTTGGGTGGAATGTTAATTCTGCACTCATAATACTGCTTTTCTGTTTTACTTCTTTTCAGGTTTTATGAAAATAAAATAACATTAATATTTTATTTCAAAATCACATGTTACCCATTCCAAGAAGCTGAGCTAAACCCTGAATCACTAAATGAATGGATTTAGTTGCTAAGGCAGCAAATACTTATGGCTAAAATGGGACCAAATTTTTTTCCCTGTGCAAGTATTAGGTCAGCTAATTACAATGCTGTGGAGAATTTTGTTCCTAATTTTGAAATGATTCATTTATTTCATGTTTATGGAATTTGTGATCTTAATTTCTATGCAGTAAATAATGCTTTTGGCATTGTCTTCATTTTTTTAATATTAATTCTATATTTCAAAAACTCCATGCTCTGAATTTTTAAAGATTTCATAACAAATTTACATATTTTTATATCTCAGTTTCTGTTCCAAAGAACTCATGATAGAAAACAACTAAGAAAATAATTTTAATAGAAATAGATCTTATTCATTTGCACTAATAAAAAAGTATATGAATTTCTCATATGTATATTAAATAAATTCAAGTATTACCAAAATTCCTTTAACAGAAGATGCTTATAGTTTATCTATTGACTTTATTTCATCCAATCTAGCCTTTTTCACTTTTGAGTATGTTGGTATGGATAGGCAGTGTTTTGTTTCAATAAAAATCCTATTTTATCGGTAGCTTATAATATGAATAAAGTAAGTTCGGAATAACAAGAAACAAAAGCAGTGTGCACAATGACAAAGCTCAGTTATGTCTTATTTCCTTTCAAAAGAGCATATTCAGATACAGAATTGAAACAGTGGTACTCCCTGAAGTGCTATTATTTAAAAATGAATTGAAATAACTTAATAACTTTTAAATTGTAACAAAAAAGCTGACTTAAGTCAATGTAAGTGAAAGTGTGGCCAAAGAAACTACTAAACTCACTGTGGAGATTATTGCGATTCTAACATTTCAGCCACAGGGCATGGGAGAGAAGAAGAAGACGGTCAAAGCCCAAGATGCTAGAATAACAAACAGATGCATCTTTGTTAGAAGACTAAATGATATCAGAAAACTATATTATAAAACCTTTTCACTTTACTCATAGGAAGCTACACAGGCTTCTACTCAGAGCCCATTTATTCATATTTTACAGTTCTGCCATTTTTCTGTTCTAATTTTCTAGGCCACTCAACATTTTAAGCAATAAAATAGTCATGAGAAGTGAGGATGCAGAGACTTTAGACAGGTAATCTGAGAGCAAGAAATGATATTATTTGACAATAAGAGAAGAGCTGTAAATAGCAGCTGTAAAACACGAAAGGCACAGTGGTCTGGTACCATTTTCTAAAGGTAAAAAACCCTGTCTCACCAGCACGGTCCCTCAAATCAGTGCTATATTTCAGCATGATACAATAATTGACACACAGAAAAAAATGATTTTCAGTTATTTAGGAAAGTTAAACTGTGACTACTATAAAGGCAGAAAGGCAATTGCTAGTTTTAAGCAGGTAATCCCATAACACATATACCATTTTTCAATGGTACCTAAAGAGTACATTATAAATGGGAAATCCATTCACATCTAATATCTCATCCCTCCCCCTCTCACCTCCATCAATACTGGAGAAATGAGATCAGAGAGTAAAATTAAATTCAAAGCATTTGATTTATTTTCAAAATTATTAGCCATAAGTAGCTGAACATTTGTAGCACTTGTCCACTGCCAAATTTAAATTCATTAGGACTGAGTGTTTCCTGATTTAGTTCCAACAAGAAATATGCAGCAATTAGGTTATGGTTGAAAAACCCGTGTGCTCGATCTAAAGTCACTGTGTATGCAGATCTGTGACTCAGAAAAGGAGAAGTCATGCCTCATGGGACCCCCCCCGACCATGCCCAACCTTGGCCAAGATACTTGTAGACATTCTGCAGTGTTTTTACAAGCTAGCTCTAGGCAAGCTGGCTAGGAGTATGAGCCTCAAAAACAAAGGTAAGCACTGGCAAAGAAATTGTGCCTTGAAAGCAGGTTATTGAATTTCCTTTCTCTAACACTTCCTAACCTTGAGTCCAAAAAAAGATAGCTGTGTCTGCTGTGTCCCTGAGTTCACAGTGCCAGATGATGAGAAAGGCCACCACTTATGTAGATACAGCTCGAGAACACTCACAACACGGGTTGCTAAGGAAAATCTATAGATGGTTTTGAAAAGTTGACATGTAATATAAAGAGCTAAGTTTATAGCCACTTACTGAACATAGAACTTTGCACATAAAATGATATTGGAAAAGCAGTTCTCTGTATCTGTTGTTAAGTATAGACCCTAAAGCTGGCCAGGAGATCTTAACATCAGCTTTTAAGGTGGTGTTAATAAAATTCAAAGCCAACACTATGGTTGCATCTTGATTTTCATAATAAATATGCTCTTTAACAGAGTGTGAAAATAAGACATATAGTTTAAGGCCACAATGACTTACTTACTGAATTTATTTATATATTGATTTAGTTTTGAGACAGAGTTTCACTCTTCTTGCCCAGGCTGGAGTGCAATGGCACTATCTCAGCTCACTGCAACCTCCACCTCCCAGGTTCAAGTGATTCTCCTGCCTCAGTTTCTGAGTAGCCAGGATTATAGGCACTCACCACCATGCCTAGCTAATTTTGTATTTTTAGTAGAGATGAGGTATCTCCATGTTTGTCAGGCTGAGCTTGAACTCCCAATCTCAGGTGATCCACCTGCCTCGGCCTCCCAAAGTGCTTGGATTACAAGGGTGACTTATATTTTTAAAAACATTCCTTTCTCCTTTGTCATGGAGAATCTGTAGCTTAATTTCCTTGCCATTACATCTGCTAAACAGTGTACTTAATGCATCTAACAGCTTCACACCCAGACCCCTTGAGTTGCTTTTGGACAAAAAATGTCTTTTGGAAGTGCCCTTGTTCATTCATCTATCACTGGGCCCAAAAGGAGTGATCAAAGAGCAGAAAAATGCACCCATTTTTCTTTTGACATTAGACATTCAAGTAAAGACCTAAAAGCAGAGGGGCAAGGGCAGCAAGATGAAGAGAGGAAGCAAACAGTGATTGTAAGCAGTGGCATTAGGCTTCTTTGGATGAGTTTCATTAGAAAACTAATGAAAACTTTTCTCTCTCCTAGATCATGTGATTTCTCCTAGATCATGAATATTTGGGTCAATGCTTAATTTCATACCAGAGCATTGAAAAGTAAGAAAAGACAGAAATAACTTTAGTGCTAGAAATAAGAAAAAAAATAGAAAATAATAAAGAACAACAACTTTGAGCCTGGGTGTAGTGGCTCACGCCCTGTAATCCCAGGACTTTGGGAGGCCAAGGTGGGTGGATCACCTGAGGTCAGGAGTTTGAGACCAAGAGTTTGAGACATGGTGAAACCCTGTCTCTCCTAAAAATACAAAAATTAGCTGGGCATGGTGGTGTGTGCCTGTAGTCCCAGCTACTCAGGAGGCTGTGGCAGGAGAATCACTTGAACTCGGGAGGTGGAGGTTGCAGTGAGCGGAGATTACACCACTACACTCCAGCCTGCTGGGCAACAGAGCTAGACTCCATCTCAAAAAAGCAAAAAACAAAAACAAAAAGAACAACAACTTTGATAATTTTGATTAATCATTAATATGAGAGACAAATAGTACTGTAACTCAGATGTATAAAACAAAAAGAACAACAAGTTTGATAATTTCGATTAATCATTAATATGAGAGACAAATAGTACTGTAACTCAGATGTATAAAACTAGAGATTTTTCTGCTCCATTTCCTGGAGGCATGACATTCCTTCCATCACATATTAATGGACTTCTGCCACCATGGAGAGACTAAAACATTTTCCTATAGTTTTGTCTCAAATCACAGCATCTTACTTTTTTATTTTTTGTCTTATTTTAACCATTTGGTTCAACATGAATGGTAAAAACATGTATGCAATATGCACACATTAGTATTGACTTTCTTTTCTTTTCCTTTCTTTTTTTTTGAGATGGAGTTTTGCTCTTTGTCCCCCAGGCTGGAGTGTAATGGCTTGATCTCAACTCACTGCAACCTCTGCCTCACAGGTTTAAGCAATTCTCCTGCCTCAGCCTCCCGAGTAGCTGGGATTACAGTTGCCCACCACCATGCCCAGCTAATTTTTATATTTTTAGTAGAGACGAGGTTTCACCATGTTGGTCAGGCTGGTTGTGAACTCCTGACCTCTGGTGATCCACCCACCTTGGCCTCCTATGGTGCTGGGATTGCAGGCGTGAGTCACCACACCTGGTCTTTATTTTATATCTATCCATTTATATATATACAATGTTAAAACAAAATTTAAAAAGGAAGAAGGAAGGAAAGGAGAGAGGGAGGGAGGGAGGAAGAAACTTGCCAATTTGTAGAACAGAACAAGCACAAAATCTTGGCAGCAAGGCCCAGATCAAATTTCAGACTACAGTGAATTGAAAAATATGTGAAGTAGATGTGAAGAAGTGATTGAGAATAAAAGTAAAACAGATTAAGAAAAAATCAGCCGTAGGTTGGATGCCTCCATAGGTCATTAGAAATGATACTGAGAGGTTGACCCATATCCCCATATGCCAGTCTCCCAAACTGTATACATTTTAAAAATAGAAAATGTATATCCAATCTCTTATTACTTAGATTTTAAATCTTTTATACTATGAGATTCAGACTTAGGCTCATATTGATTTGTGTTATTGTTTCACAGCATCTTTCTAACATTTGGTAGAGATGCTTGTACCTATTTTGTTGCAAAAGCACATAATTCAATGTAAAAATGAAATAATAGGCCGGGCGCGGTGGCTCACGCCTGTAATCCCAGCACTTTGGGAGGCCGAGGCGGGTGGATCACGAGGTCAAGAGATCGAGACCATCCTGGTCAACATGGTGAAACCCCGTCTCTACTAAAAATACAAAAAAAATTAGCTGGGCATGGTGGTGCGTGCCTGTAATCCCAGCTGCTCGGGAGGCTGAGGCAGGAGAATTGCCTGAACCCAGGAGGCGGAGGTTGCGGTGAGCCAAGATCGCGCCATTGCACTCCAGCCTGGGTAACAAGAGCAAAACTCCGTCTCAAAAAAAAAAATGAAATAATATATACTTTGGCATAAACAGAAATTGATGCAGCTACAAATCCTAGCTTGAGAATGCTGGAGTAACACAGTAATTGCAATTCTGAAATAAATCATTTTAAGCAAGAAAAGGTCATCTCCACATGTATTACCTCTAAGGGAAAATTATAGAGCTGATATATCTTATTTTTAAGAGAAAGCAAACATGTTATTTATTTTTAAAACTTGTCCTTCTAAATTCAGGTTTGTAAAGAGATGCCACATCTTGAAGTCTCTTTGCTGGAAGCCGATTTCAAATTGTTTGCATTATGCGTTTTTTTCACTTGTCATCTACTAGTGGGGTAGCACAGGTGTCAGTGACTGTGTATGCATAGTCAGGTGGTGAGTTATTTTGGCTCCAGAAAAATGAGGTAGACCCACGCCACGTGTGTGCATACATGGTAAAGACTTCCTAGCTAATATTTAGTTCAGTCTTACGGTCTGTGCTTTTTAGTAAAATAAAAAAGAAGTTTCTTAAAACAGCACTTTTGAAGAATTGGAAACCATTCTTGCAGACTCAGAGATTTGCTGACAGTCTTCTAACATCAGCAATCTGCCAAGCAACCCTTGTTTACATAGTACTCCTTTTTTATATTCTGGAAGGAAGATAAGGTTTTTCATGGAATTCTGAAGCCCTAATCACATTCTATCTTGTAAACAATGACTAGTGAGCTTTTACTATCATTCTTTCCTATTGACTTGATGTTCATGTTTTTCTTTTAACTTGATGTTTTTCTCCCAGAGTTCTCTCTGGCTGGATACTTATTTTTAATGCTTTTTCTGGCTTGCCTTAAGAAGCTTTACCTCTTCAAACATTCTGGCTCAGAAGTTAAATAGAAACTTTGCTCTTTATTCATTTTCATATAATGCCCCCAACACAGACTGACAAATTCTAAGATATTCACTTTGAAGAAATTTGAATGTACTCCTTAAAAATTTACAGTATACTTAAAATGTGCTGAATTTTCTATTTCTCAGTGGAACATAAGAATTTGAATATGACTGTTTTTGTTTAATAAAAAGAATAACTTATACATCTAAAATGCTGTTAAATATTCCATTGTTTTGTATTTTTCTGGTCACCCTTAATTCTGTTAGCTAATTTCACATTTACAGTAACACAGTGAGAAGAGAAACATTATGCGGATCTTGAAAATAAATTATGGAGAGGTTAGCTAACTTAACCAGGAGAACTCAACCATTTAGTATTTCACTGGAGTAAGACTTCAGATTGGGTGTTTCTTCCATTAAGCTCAATATCCACCATTTAAAGGATCCTTACACATGGTTGCCCTTCAGCAATACAATCAGGCAGCTACTCACATGCTAACAGAAGCCATATGGCATCTGAAAAGGGGACAGGCTCTGAGCATAAAACCGTAACAGCTGTGTGACCCTGGGTAACTGGTCTACTGGTCTACCTCTTTTGTGCCTCAGTTTTCTTATCTGTAGGATAAATAAAATGAGTGCTAGAATCTGCCTGATGGGGTTGTGGTGGTGAGCATTAAACAAGCTAATACATGTAGAGAACGGAGAATTGTGTGTAACTAATATTTGTTATTTTTATTGCTATTGTAACCATGGTGTAAATCCTAAAATCAAGTGAACAGAAAAACACAGAAACAGATGCGCAACGCTCATGCATGTGTGTGACAAAAGAAAATTAATGATGTTAACTCACTGGACAGGGACTTTTAGGGAAGATTTTATGGGGAGGGAAAAGAGAGCGAAGCACATTTAATGTTCTGGATTCTCATTGTCCATGTTTCAGCTTCTATAGAATTCCCATCTCACCCTCTTTGCCTATATGCCGTCATATATGATGCAGTGAGACACGTACATGGTTTTAGTAGGTAGACTCCAAAAACACTAATTCTTTTAAATAAAAAGAGGAAAAGAATATAAAGACTAGACTAATCCTAAATTATCAAAGATTTTTCTATTTTCACTGCTCCTTTGTTCCGTGAATCTTGACAGCTTTTTATTAAAATTGTTATCAGTCTGGGAGAAACACTTTATCTCCTTGACTTAATTGGAAGGCCTTGAGAGGTAGATCTGAGTCATTTTTTGGTGTTTCCAATACCTAGCATGTTTCCCAGAACATGGTAGGTGCTGAGCAAATGCTTGTCAAGTGTGCAAGAATGAATGAGGAGCCAGCTTGGCTATTATTTATGGAATTAGTGGAAAGGAGACATGTGATTGGCACATGGGGAAGGGGTGAGTTAGAAATGGAGAATGGGTTATACAAACAGAGTGCCAAGGACAAACTCTGTTTCTCAAAGTGGTGGAGTAAATGCTTCATTACCATTATCATTATGATAGTTATTACTAAAATTCATCATCCAGTTTCCTCTAGGCCTATCCCAATTTTGTTTAGTGCCTTAGCACAATGGCTAAGTTCACACCTAATCAATAAAAAACCATTTTATTTAATCACACCCCTGTCAACCCCATTGTGATAGACACTCTGGAGCGTATCACTCCTGAGAACCCTGGAGGGTATCATGGGCCCACTGAGGTGCCCAGCCTTGTCCCCACAGAGTCCCTCTCCAGAGCATTACACTGTGGATTCGTGGGTGCCTCATTCTTCAACATCAGCTAGGATATTTTGTTTTCAGATCCATGATTTTAGCGGTTTGAAACCTAAATACAGAGCAGTGGTCAATCTCAGTTATTCTTGTAGGTAACTGTTTGCTGGATCTACCACGAAAGCAGATCCTGGGCCCGGAAGAACTCCCGGGACAGACCTATGATGCCGCCCAGCAGTGCAACCTGACCTTCGGGCCCGAGTACTCGGTGTGTCCCGGCATGGATGTCTGTGCTCGCCTGTGGTGTGCTGTGGTGCGCCAGGGCCAGATGGTCTGTCTGACCAAGAAGCTGCCTGCCGTGGAAGGGACACCTTGTGGAAAGGGGAGAATCTGCTTGCAGGGCAAGTGTGTGGACAAAACCAAGAAAAAATATTATTCAGTAAGTGATATTCTCATCAGCCAGTGCCTGGAGGAGACCCAAGAAGTAAAGTGCATTCTTGTGATGGGTATGGGCACTGTCCTCAGAAGCCTTTATTTTCTAATTGAAAAGCTTTTCCTGATGGGGGCAGTGGCTCATGCCTGTAATCCCAGCACTTTCAGAGCCCGAAGCAGGCAGATAACAACGTCAGGAGTTCAAGACCAGGCTGGACAACATAGTGAAACCTTGTCTCTACTAAAAACTACAAAAATTGTCCAGGCATGGTAGTACCTGATCCCAGCTACTCAGGAGGCTGAGGCATGAGAATTGCTTGAACCCAGGGGGCGGAGTTTGCAGTGAGCCGAGATGGTGCCATTGCACTCCCGCCTGGGCAGCAAGAGCAAAACTTGGTCTCCAAAAAAGAAAGAAAGAAAGAAAGAAAAGAAATAAGAAATGAAAAACTTTTCCTTTTGAGATCTATTTGCACCTGCTTCTTTCACCTGCAGTGGCCATTCTTGGTGATCAAATACCGGGGAAAATGCAGATACTAGGGATTTCTTCACAGATCACATCTTTAAACAAACACTCGTGTAACTCAGATTCTGTTCAATTGAGACTCCCCCATGTAGGACCCTATTAATTGCTTTTGAGAAGTTTACTTTCAAACTTGTCTTGCTAAAGTTATCAGAATATAAGTATTTAAATTCAGTAAGAAGGTCATAACAGAGCTGACACATGTGGTCCTTGTACATATTTGGTGAGCTCCAAATGTCACTTTCTTCCCCTGGACAATAAGTTCATCTAAATTTAGGAGCTAAAATAACTTATGGCTGCTACAGGGAAACACCTCTGCCACCATATACACAGTCCAACTTCAGGTCAACGACTGCCCTATTAATTTTCAAGGCCTGATTAAAATATATACTCCCTCTCAACCACAAGATTTGCGAAGTTCTGCAAGAGGATTATCATGTGCTCATTGCCTGTGTTTTTCAGTGTATCACCCAACCATGCATTGTCAGATAGACTGACTGAGTCCATCAGAGGGTATATATACCCTCTGAGCAAAGCAGTTGAGCATATTCTTCCTTTCAGAATCTCTAAGCTCCCTCCCGGAATGTGTCCAGAGAAATAGACTTAGGTTGCCATAAAAGGGCTCTTGTTTTTTAAGGGGTGTGTCTGCATGCATGGCCTCAGTGTACTTCAGAATCTGTCACATCCAATTAGGAATGAAGCCAAGTTGGGTCCATCCAATACATTTATGTATGTCATAGAGTCTGTCACAGACGGAGGGACTGCAGAGTTTTACTGCTAAAGAGAGAAAGAGCTGCAAACACAATTAAATAATGCCCAGTGTCACGTAGATCCTTCAGCATTATACGTTTCAATAAAGATCCAAGATCGGAGTAGACAAAAAGTTACAATGGTTCAGTGATTTTAACAGAGATGGACCATATCAGAAGACATAATTTAAAATGACCCATAGAAACCAGGAGGTAATCTTTGTGGTGTGCTCAGTGCTTAGAATGACACTTTCAGATCCTCTAGCACTGGAGTGGGGAGGGTGGAAAAGATGAACTGCTTAGAATTGGAAATATGTTGTATTTCCAAAGCATAATCATGTTAAATTCACTGAAAATATAACTGTGTCTGTGACAAAGTTTCCACTCTCTTCTTAAATGCAAGTGATTTCCAAATGCACATTTTGAATGTTTTTCTCTCATCTGAGTTAAAATATCTTCTATTTTCTATTTCAGACATCAAGCCATGGCAACTGGGGATCTTGGGGATCCTGGGGCCAGTGTTCTCGCTCATGTGGGGGAGGAGTGCAGTTTGCCTATCGCCACTGCAATAACCCTGCTCCCAGAAACAATGGACGCTACTGCACAGGGAAGAGGGCCATCTACCGCTCCTGCAGTCTCACACCCTGCCCACCCAACGGTACGCTGCCCTCAAGTGCCAGCAACCATCACATGCTACGTGTCATTTGTATTCTAGCAATAATGACTAGGGGAAGCTGGGAAACTAACATTAATCTTATACTACACAATTCCACCCATATGCAGATCAATTACAAACACATATGTGATTTTTAAGTTACTATTATAAGCAATAGAGTATTCAGAGAATTGGAATAAATAATCACCATTTTGAACGCTATGTCTAGATAAAGTCCATCAACATTGGTGAGTAAAGACTGTGGGGGAAAAAAACACAATGTTTGCATCTTTTCCTTATATTAACTAATTTAAACACACAAGAATATATCTAGGTTGCAGAACTGATAAGGTAATACTGTAACATGTTTGTTTTCTAGGTAAATCATTTCGTCATGAACAGTGTGAGGCCAAAAATGGCTATCAGTCGGATGCAAAGGGAGTGAAAACTTTTGTGGAGTGGGTTCCCAAATATGCAGGCGTCCTGCCAGGGGATGTGTGTAAGCTGACCTGCAGAGCCAAGGGCACTGGCTATTATGTGGTGTTTTCTCCAAAGGTAACTGCACACTAACTGTTCAGAAGCAGTAGGCGTACTGGTGGAAATTATTTGGTTGAAGGAAGCCTGCAGATGCCAAATGTAAACAGTTATTAGTTTGGGGTCACTTAGACTTTTGAAGGTTTTTATTTTCATCTCTATAACTTCTATATTTTCAAACTTTACACAATGAATAAAAATTATTTCACAAACAGAACAAGTAAATGTTTTAAAAGCTATATTTAAAAGGTGTAGCTCCCTGTCACAGAAGGCAAAGTGTGACCTTAACTTTAAAGTAACCATGAAAACAACTAGTATTTCCTAAGCGCCATTGTAAAGGAGATTGTAAGGCAAGAAAACTTTCTCTGTTTTTCTATTATATATTTAAGAATTCCTTTGATGAGCCATGAGGATGGGTCTCAAGATCATACACCTCTGACTCAGGGTTGTGAATAAGTCTTGAACCCTTAATATGAATCAATGTCCTTCTAGTTGTCTATGTTACAATATTTGTGTATGGAATATGCCTTATTTTTGCAGGTGAGTGTTTTCTAAATCTATAGCAGAGTTTTATTCTTATGGTCAGTGTTATACAGCCATTTATAAATTTTTAAATAGTTGCTACATTTAAAGTCACCTCTGAAACTTGGACTTCAGAGATTTACAGCATGTTATTGAAAAACAAGCTAATATCCAACTTATATAATTTTTTAAAATATCATGTTTTTATTAGAAAATAATGCATTTTTATTTTAAAATACTACACAGAAATAAAAACATAAAAATCACATGAAAATATCACCATCTACAGAGCTATTAACCTGATGAAGTATATTCTACTTCAATTCACACACACGCATTCACAACATACCCACACATGCATAAAAAGAGTTTTCTATATACATAAATGTAAAATGTATAGGCTTATTTTATATATATATATATGTGTGTGTAAATATATTATATATACTCACATGCACAAGCCACAGTCTATATACACACAGTTTTGTAACTAGCTTTTTACCTATACACTAATCCCTTTATTCAAAATATATACAGTCTCTTCCTGAAGTACATTCCTCTAACTTCCCCAGATTCTTTTTTCTACACTAATTTGGTTGTCTGTATTTCAGTGTCTGACAGTTCAACACACAACAGGGAATGCTCTCCAACCATGACATAGCTTTGAATGTCAAGTTTAGATTTTCAAATTTGTCATTATAATAACAATTATGCAACAGAGAAGGATCTTTGCATTCTCAAGCCTGCTTACATTCAACTTTACACAGAAATGATAGTCCAAAACACTTAGTGAAAAGATTATTTCTATCACTATAAAAAGCCAAGATTGTACCCTGAGAATGTAGCATGCACACAAAAACATAGATGAGTACTTCATGTCTCCTAACACATTCAGCGGTAAGCTCAAGAGAATATGTGTAAGCTAGGCTTATCTGAGAATGCTCTCTGCCAATATGTCAAGGATTTTTCAGTTAGATACTTCTGGAAACTATGTTTTTTGGCTTTTATTCTTAATGTATTGTCTATGCCAATCAAACTCAAAAAATCACAAATAAGAACTTACTAGTTGACCAAAAGAGCAAATACCGACACACACATTTCCCACTGCTAATGTGTTTGCATGATTCAGGTGACTGATGGAACTGAATGTAGGCCGTACAGTAATTCAGTCTGTGTCCGGGGAAAGTGTGTGAGAACTGGTTGTGATGGCATCATCGGCTCAAAGCTGCAGTATGACAAGTGCGGAGTATGTGGAGGAGACAACTCCAGCTGTACAAAGATTGTTGGAACCTTCACTAAGAAAAGGTAATATGATAGAACCTTTGCCTTCATATGAATTGAACAAAGCTTTAGACTCTTGCAAAATTGATAAAGAGGGACTCATATTATATCTTAAGTTATCTATAGGAGGAGGTCTAACGTGGCTCTGGTAACACATTTTGAATATGAGGAGGAAGAGAGAGGAGATGAGTAAAATTCTGGTTGCTCAGGGAAAACTCGTGGTGCTTCTGGAAGCAGATAAGCTGCAGTAGCCTTGGGAGTCCATAGCTTGCAGAATCAGAAAACTGAAAAGAAAAATTGGGTGACATTCTACTTTAGTGCTACCTTGCAGATCTATTTTTATTACTAAAACAATTTAAGGAAGATTGACTTGTTTCTATCTTAACTATATTTTTCAAGACAAATTATCCATACACAGTGTTTTTTTTTTTAAGAAAACATTTCTCCTTGCAAAATGTAAGTTCACTGCAGTGGTGTGGGCAACAATCCTATTTTATAGTGAAGTATCCTGGTTTATATCCACTCTCCAAAGAAATATATACAGCGATGTCTGTCTCCTGCTTCCTCTTGTGGTACTAGATTACACTTTACTTTAAATATTTAAATTTATAGAGTACCAAGTTCTGGCATCAAATATGCTATCAGGTAGGATGGCTGAGTTGGCTAGAGTCTGATGAAATACAGGCTTTCTCCTCTTCTTCTCAAATCACTCTTAGGCTGAGTGGTATTCATTGAATATATCTGTGTTGTCTGTAACTTAAGAGTAATATACAAACCAAATTAACAATAGAATTTGTTAAAATAATTAAACATGTTAATGTAAAAAAACTATAAATTCTCTCTGATGTGATTTGAAAATATATGGCTGAAAAATTTATTTTGAATTAAAATATGCATTACTAGTTCTATTTGCTAATGAAATGACAATTATTCACCTAATTGTGTTAGACCTTCTATGTCAAAACCCTGCATATCTAATTATATCCTACATTTTTATATGCTTAAAAGGTATCAAACACCTTAGAGATGATCACTTCAACCTTTTGTTTTAAAAATGAGATGGACTGAAAATTTAGGAGTTAGCCAATACTCCATAGCTGACGAAAGCCAGGGAAGAGCAGACACCACAACTAAAACCCTAGACTGCACAGGTCATTTTGAGAAAAAAAAAAAGAAAGGAAAGAGAAACAAAGAAGGGTAGAAAGAAAGAACAAAAGAAAGAGAGAAAGAAAGAAAAAAGAAAAGAAAGAGAGGGAGGGAAGGGAAAATAAAGAGAAGGAGAGAGAGAATTCAGGAATCATATTAGAAACAAAAATATTTTTAAAAGGCAATACCTTATATACTATACGATATATTTTCTCTTCTATATAAAGTTATAAATCCCTTTTCAAAATGCTAAATTTAGCATTTTAAGTGTTTTTGTGTTGACAACTAATATCTGCACATTTTTTCACAAGAAAAGATGAAGAAATTCATTATAGCAATAAGTGGCATGTAATGTAATCACTTGCAAATTGGTTTGACCAAAATTATATTATGGTACAAATGACCTGTTTGAGTCATTAAAATTAATTACCTATGGAGGCCGTGGTAACTTATATGATTTATAAAAAAAAGAACATTGATCTCAGGCTGGAATATTTGTAATCAACCTTTGGCTGATTCCTTGGCCATGTGATCCTTGAATTGTTACCTCATTTCTTTACCATGAGATTTACTCAAAAGTAAAATGGAAAAAAAAAGTGAAGTGGAAATACTAGTAATTATTATCATACAGTTAATTAAACTGTTGTGAAGATGAAATGGGTTAATACATATTAAAATATTTCATCAAGTTTAAGCCTATTCACAATATGACCCTAATCTTAACTCACCCCTCCCTCAGTTTTCCTTATCTTAGTAAATGGCAACTCAGTCTTTCCACTATTGAAGCCAAAACTTTGGAGTCATAGTTTGCAACTCATTTTCTCTCACACTCCACATCCATCCATCAGCAGGTCCTGTCAGTTCTATTTCCACATCTCCAGAATCCAGGTGCCCCTCACCACCATGACCACTCGCACTGCAATCCAAGTGTTTATCAGATCTTGCCTAGACTAACACTATAGTCTTCTCACTGGCCTCTGGACCCTTTGCCTCTCAATCTCATCTTACCAAGTGAGGGAAGCCATGGCTATTACCTAAATCAGATCATTGCATTCCTTTGATCAGTACCCTCCAATGGCTTCCATCTTACTTAGAGTCAATGCCCAAGACTGTATTGTAATCTCCAAGGTGCTGAAAGATCTGACCCCTTCCTTCCTCTGTGTCTTTTCTACACTGTCCCTTTCTCTTGCTCTGCTCTGACCACAGTGGACTTTCTGGCACCTCAAAAACATGACACCAGGTATGTGAATGCTTTTTCCTCTGCCTGGAACACTTTCTGCTATTAATAAGCAACACCTTCCAGATTCTCTTTAGGTCTCTGTCAAATGTCACCTTCTCAGATAGCAGCTACCATAAATGAACAGGATACCTCCTCCATTCCCACCACTGCTGTCTAACTTCTTACCTTCCTCTGTTTCTTCACAGCTCTTATCAGTTGATATCACCACATACTTTGCTTGCTGGGAGTTGACTAAAACATCCCTTCCCTGACAGCATGCTTGAATATAAATGAATATATTTCTTCATGACAGACATTGTTCTTGGCACTGTGCAGATAGCCCTGAACAAAACAAGATTCCCTTGCCCTGCCAGCCATACTTCATCAGAGTTATATGAAAATCACATGCATTTATGGTAGTCAGGGAAGCTGGTCAGTGTCTGGAGTGTAAATCATACCAAGCAGGGTGTAAAGAGAAGAAATCAGGAATGCCAAGAGAATCATCTTTTACTAAGGCACTAAAAAAATAAGGGCACTAATACTCAGGCTTACAAGTGCTTGTGAAACTCAGTTTGAAGACCTGCAGCAATACTGCCCATCACACAGACTCACCAAGATGAGAGAAGCTTTAAGGAACAAGGATAAACACCAAAAAAATGTTTCCTTATCCTTTATCCCTTATTTTCCTTAATCCTTACTGGGCATCATTTAAACTCTGGACACACCCAGAATTTAATTGCATTTAACTTTTATAACATGACTGGCAGGGGTCAGGGTTTTATGCCTTGGGACATAGTGAAAAAGAGCACTAATTGGGAGTCAGGAAGCTGGCCTTTCTTTTCTTTTTCTTTCTTTCTTTCTTTCTTTCTTTCTTTCTTTCTTTTCCTTTCTCTTTCTCTTTCTTTTCTTTTCTTTTCCTTTCTTTCTCTTTCTTTCTTTCTTTCTTCTTTCTTTCTCTTTCTTTCTTTTTTCTTTCTTTCTTTCTTTCTTGACAGGGTCTCACTCTGTTGTCCAGGCTGGAGTGCAGTGGCATGATCTTGACTGACTGCAACCTCCACCTCCCAGGTTCAAGTGATTCTCCTGCCTCGGCCTCCAGAATAGCTGGGATCTAAGGCATGGGCCACCACGCCCAGCTACTTTTTGTATTTTTAGTAGAGAAGGGGTTTCACCATGTTCGCCAGGCTGGTCTCAAACTCCTGTCCTCAGGTGATGCCCTGGCCTCGGCCTCCCAAAGTGCTGGGATAACAGGCGTGAGCCACGGCGCCCAGCTGAGCCTGGTGTTTAAGCCTAACACTGCCACTAATTAGCTCTGGCGTGAACTTGTTCAAATACTTTCATATATCCCCATTTCATACCCTTTTTGTGTAAGATGACATATTTATCTCCAACATTGCCTCCTTTAAGACAGGGTCTTATTCTGTTACTCAGACTGGAGTGCAGTGGTGCAATCATAGCTTACTGCAGCCTCAAAGACCTGGGTTAAAGTGATCTTCCCAGCTCAGCCCTCCCAGTAGCTAGGAGCATAGACATACGCCACCATCCCTGGGTAACGTTTTCATTTTTTGTAGAGACAAGATCTTCCCTATATTGCCCAGGCTGCTCTTGAACTCTTGGCCTCAAGGAATTCTCCAGCATCCCTTTTGACTTTGTTTGAAGCCACCATAGTTTCGTGGATTCTTTATTAATATTAGATACTACAAATAAAATCTGTAACAACGTTTGATCTGTAACGTACTACAAAAATGAAAATAATGAATAGAATTATACAGAATAAGCAATGCCCCACACATTGCATCATCTCTATTCAACACTATAGGAAGCTTTAACAGTTGTCTGGCTGTCATTGCAGAATAGATCGGCCTGTAGACAGGGGGCTTCTTTAGTGATAAGCTTCCTCTCCAATTCAGAGGAAATTCTGACGTAAGGGAAACACACTTGGATTTTTAGCATGTGAATGAGAACTGGAAATGAGATAGTTCAGGTCTGCAGGTCAGTCAAACTGAGCAAGCAATAGTATTCCTGTTTAAATAACTAGGAAAGTGAAATATATAGGGACCTTATTATGAAATTATTTTAAAAGGCAAAAATTTAGGCAAAAGTTCACTCCTCACTTCACCCTCCTTGCTTAATCAGCATTTCCATCCAAGCGTTCATCACAGGTTTATGGGTATTAAAAATATTTATGCCTTTGCCCATTTTCCTGAACAGATGATGGCTCTTTGAAGACTTAAATGAAATCTTTTTTTCATCATAAAGCCTTTCTCAATCTATCATATCTTATGGGCACTAAGAATTCAGAAAAATTTGCTAAGTCATTAAAAAAATTCCCCTTTTATGATGTTATTAGCAAGATCATTACCCAATTTCTGAATTGTTTGCTTCGTTTAGTGGCCTGTCCTACAAAACCCAGAGTTCTAGTAGAAAGAGGTGCAGAGACTCTACTCATCTCCAGTCCAAAATCTAATTAAATCTGTGATCCCAAGTTAGTGTGCACATTGGAACAATATGAGGAGTTTCAAAAAGTACTCTTGCCTATGCCCCATCCTGGAAGATGGGGATTTAATTGGTCTGGGGTGTGGGTAGCCTCTGGAAGATTTAAAAGACTCCCACCTAATTCTAATGTGCAGGCAAATTTGAGAAACATTACAGAATTAGATGAGATTTAGTGAAGGCATATTTCTGTCAGTTTATGATTAAATATATCCCATTTTGTGCCAGAAAAAATGTAAAGTAGATTTGTAAAGATGATAGGATTTGATAAGGATGAAAATGGTTGTATAAATCTTGTAAGTTAGCATACTTTTTTTTTTTGAGATGGAGTCTTCCTCTGTTGCCAAGGCTAGAGTGCAGTGGTGAGATCTTGGTTCACTGCAACCTCTGCCTCCTGAGTTCAAGTGATTCTCCAGCACCAGCCTTCCAAGAGCTGGGATTACAGACATGCATCGCCACTCCTAGCTAATTTTGTATTTTTAGTAGAGATGGGATTTCACCATATTGGCCAGGCTGGTCTCGAACTCCCAACCTCAGGTGATCTGCCTGCCTCGGCCTCCCGAAGTGCTAGGATTACAGGCGTGAGCCACCATGCCCAGCCATAAATGTTTTAAATAAAGGCAGGTTGCTAGCATCATCCTAATTTTGAACAGCTCAATTAAAATGTATACAGTATTGTAATCTAAATGCAATTTTGTCATAAAAAATAATTTTTGAACCCAATTTTAAACTAATCTCCTAAATGCATTAAAACTGTGTGTTAAGAAAAGACTTTCAGAAAATTTCTGTTTATTTATTTGTTAAGTGTTTACTTCTTTTTTCTCCTTTTTTTACCTACCACCCCCACTTCCTGTGAACACTTCTACTTCCAGTAAGGGTTATACTGACGTGGTGAGGATTCCTGAAGGAGCCACCCACATAAAAGTCCGGCAGTTCAAAGCCAAAGATCAGACTAGATTCACTGCCTATTTAGCCCTGAAAAAGAAAAACGGTGAGTACCTAATCAATGGAAAGTACATGATCTCCACTTCGGAGACTATCATTGACATCAATGGAACAGTCATGAACTATAGTGGTTGGAGCCACAGGGATGACTTCTTGCATGGCATGGGCTACTCTGCCACGAAGGAAATTCTAATAGTGCAGATTCTTGCAACAGACCCCACTAAACCATTAGACGTCCGTTACAGCTTTTTTGTTCCCAAGAAGTCCGCTCCAAAAGTAAACTCTGTCAGTGGTCATGGCAGCAATAAAGTGGGATCACACACTTCACAGCTACAGTGGGTCACGGGCCCCTGGCTCGCCTGCTCTAGGACCTGTGACACAGGCTGGCACACCAGGACAGTACAGTGCCAGGACGGAAACCGGAAGTTAGCGAAAGGATGTCCTCTCTCCCAAAGGCCTTCTGCATTTAAGCAATGCTTGCTGAAGAAATGTTAGCCTGTGGTTATGATCTTATGCACGAAGATAACTGGAGGATTCAGCACTGATGCAGCCGTGGTGAACAGGAGGTCTACAGAATGCACAGAAAGTCATGCTTCAGTGACATTGTCAACAGGAGTCCGCTTATGGGCAGAATCTGCTCTCTGTGACCAAAAGAGGATGTGCACTGCTTCATGTGACAGTGGTGACTTTGCAATATAGAAAAACTTGGGAGTTATCAGACACCCCCTGGGCTTACAAGAAAGAAAGAAACACTGATGAATGTAGAATCAGGGGACATTTGAAGATGGCAGAACAGTCTTCCCGTTGTCACCTACCTCTTTAGAATGTCTTTAACGGCATCATAATCATTTTTCACCCATAATACACAGTAGCTTCTTTTTACTGTTTGTAAGTACATTCTCCCTTGGTATGTCACTTTATATCCCTTGGTTCTATTAAAATACATATATATATTTCTATAAAAAAAAGTGTTTGACCAAAGTAGGTCTGCAGCTATTTCAACTTCCTTCAGTTTCCAGAAAGAGCTGTGGATATTTTACTGGAAATTAAGAACTTGCTGCTGTTTTAATAAGATTTAGTGTATTTCGTGACTACAGGAGATAAAATTTCAGTCAAACAACTATTTTGACAGCAAGTATCTTCTGAGAAATTTTGAAAAGTAAATAGATCTCAGTGTATCTAGTCATTTGAATACATACACGGGTTCATTTACTTAAACATTTGACTGCCTGTATTTTTTTCAGGTAGCTAGCCAAATTAATGCATAATTTCAGATATAGAAGTAGGGTTCATGTGTGTGTATGCGTGTGATCAGTACTCAAGAGTCTAAAAACTAGTTTCCTTGTGTTGGAAATTTAAAAGGAAAAGAAATCATATTTCACTGTGTTTTCAATTTGTATTTTCACAACTATTTCTTTTTCCAGCATCTGATATCTTACAATGTATAATATACATACAAAACACACAGCAAGTTTTCTATCACGTCCAATACCTTCAACATTGGTATACCTCTTACCAGCAAGCCTTTAAAATGCGTTTGTGTTCGCTTACTTGTTTTGTTCAAGGGTTTGGTAAGACCTACAATATTTTGTACTTCTTGACTTAGTTATTAGAAACATTAAAGATCACTTGGTAGTTAGCCACATTGAGTAATGGTTATCATTATTAATGTGGTTAATGTAGAAAAGCGGTTAATATTAATAAGACTGTTTCCACACCACAGGCAATAATTTCTTAATTTTTAAATCTAAGTATATTCTGACTGTACTAAAGATTTTTCCCAACTGGAAAGCACTTGTTTGTACCAGTAAGTGTTTGAGTGATGAAATGTGATGATTTTCAGGAAGTTGTTTGTTCCCGTAGCCTGTTTAGGTAGGTTGTAAGTAGGTTATAAATTTGAATAGTTAGACATGGAAATTATTTTATAAACACACATCTAAAAGTATATTTTTAGGTGGTAAAATGTACACCTCCTCATCATCAACCTCACAGCTTAGAAAAATCTAAGGTGTTTCATTTCATTGGGATTGCTTTTTTTGTAAAATACTGCAAAGCCGATTTTTTTTTTAAAAGAATTCATTGTAATCATACCAAATGTGCCTGTTAAAGATTTCATATAAAGATGCTAGGAAACCATTGTTAGAGGTCCACAAGCTCACGAGAGTTTATTATAAGATACTTTCCATATAAAAGAATTATGTAACTGATCACTATATCATATCATTTCAGTGGGCCAGGAAAATAGATGTCTCACTGTTTTAAGTATTTTCTTAAGAAATTGCTTTTTAAACAAATAATTGTTTTACAAAACCAATAATCATCCTTTGGATTTTCATAGACTGACTTTGCTTTAGACGTGGTCTTTTTTTTTTTTTTTTTTTTTTTTTTGAAAAAGTTTCGCTATTGTTACCCAGGCTGGAGTGCAATGGCATGATCTCGGCTCACTGCAACCTCCGCTTCCTGGGTTCAGGCAATTCTCCTGCCTCAGCTTCCTGAGTAGCTGGGATTACAGGCATGTGCCCCCATGCGCAGCTAATTTTTTGTATTTTTAGTAGAGACAGGGTTTCACCATGTTGACCAGAATGGTCTTAATCTCTTGACCTCGTGATCCACCTGCCTCAGCCTCCCAAAGAGCTGGGATTACAGGCATGAGCCACCGCGTCTGGCCCATTTTTTTCTTAATAAATTATCAGTTTGAGAAATGAGGCCTGTACAAGGCTGACAATCTATACCTGCTGGAGATCACCCAATGCCAAGGGCAGAAAGCCAACCTAGTCAAATAAGTAAGAAAATAATAATAATAACAATAATCCCACTGTCATTTGTCTGTACAAAGAGAATTAGGAGAGAGGTTAATGTTACTTTTTTCCATTTTGGAAATAATTTTAATTGAGTAACTCAAATGTGACCAAATCTATTTTTATTTTTTGTGGTTATATTCCCAACAACATTAAAAAATAATTGAGCCATAGACATAGTTGTCTCCTATTCTGCTTCTCTTACTATTCTCATAAATTTTTAATATATTAATGATTTATGTTTCCCCCAAATAGTGATGGTTTGTACTTCTCATGGAAACAATCCTAGAGAGCTTAGAGCAAATAAACCACTATTCCATGCAAGTTTTAAGTAGTTTTCTCTACCTTTTCCTTATGACTCTCACTAGATCGACTGAGGAATGTATGTTTAAATTCCTGGAGAAGATGATATGGATTGGAAACTGAAATTCAAAGAAATGGAGTGTTCAATAGATACAAGAATTATGAACAAAGGGAAAATTCTATACAACTCAATCTAATTCAGACAGACTTTGTACTGTCTTTCAACTTTCTGTTGATGCATCTTGAATTTTTTTAAAAATGTCTAGAATTCAGGATGCTAGGGGCTACTTCTTAAAAAAAAAAAAAAGAATTTGCCTGAAAATGCTCAGGTTTGTAAGAATCTAATCTCACTTACGTAACTATGCACTTCGTAATAAGTTGTATTAAGTACAAAGGGAGCCAGAAAAAAATGACATTCATTTCCTCCAGAACAAAAAAATGTAAATTAAGCCCTGCCTTGCTGTTTAGAAATATAGGGGCAGTGTTATAACATATTCAATAAAGTTAGATTCTTTTGCCTTCCTGTGGAAACAGTTTTATCCCACTAAACTAGGAATTAGGGATGAATCACAAAGAAAAAGTTGCAGCACTGAAAAAAGATAATTTATTGTTTTTGCAACTGGTATGTGAATTTGTGTGATAAAATTATTTATTCTTATTTAACAAAAAATGTGCAAATTTTTCGATATTTAAAATGTTTTGCTGTTCTACTTTTTAATTTATGCTTCATGTTTGTGTATAAAATACACTTTTACACTTTGTGAGTTTACATAATATACAGCACTGGTTGCTTTTGTATTTTTTTACAGAAAGCTTTCTGTGTGAAACAGGTGTATATGTATATATTCCTCGTGTATTCTTATTCTGATACCATCATTATTCTTTCCTAAGAAATTTTAATCTTTCATGACTAATAGTGTTCATTCCTTGTAGCTATCATAATAAGTCTTTTACATCACACTAACTCTAATTTTCCCCACTCACAAATAAGAAAAACACTCAATGAAACAAGGTGCAAGTTTTAAATTTGGGTTCACAAATAGCCTAAAAGCTTCTTGTAGATGCTAAGACACAGTCAAGAATCAGATCCTTTCACTTCATCGAGGAACTTGGACAAGTTGATGTTGACATATTAGATGAAAGTTGTGCACACACAACTTCTGAGGGATACAAATGATAATAAAACCATGTGTTGTCCTGTTCTGCTTTAGAAACGCCCCCTAAAATGAACATCATTTAGTCTCTAGGGTCTGTAGGATTCTACAGACAAGCACAAATAAATTGGATGTGTATAACAGATGCTAGTAGTTATAACTGTTTCTACAACTGTGGGGTGTCGATTAAGAGAATGATGTTTTTCTACTACTGTTGAACCCTATGGAGTGATTACAGGACTTGAAATAGGCAGAGCCACCTCTGATGATACCAGCTTGCCTCTGTGATTTCAAAGCCTGATCCTGGCAAAAAGACAAAGCACCCAGGACACACAGCCAATCTCTGGTTGTGATATTTCCCCATCGATTCCATCCTTGTTAACAAGGTCATTGTAATGGTTCAGGTGAGGACAGCAGCCAGATTCAAAGCCAAGAACTTATGCTGTTACTTAGAGTTCATACTTTGTAAAATAAGATTAAATTTAATAATGATCAAATTGTTCTAATAGTCTCTGGCAGAGTGTATAATCTCGTTGGCATGATTGGTGAATATTACGAATCTCTTTATAATGAAATGATGCTATACAAATACCTTATATTTGCTAACATTTCAAAACTACTAGCCATGTGTACAGAAATGCTCATCTAAAGCTTTCATAGAACCAAATTCAAGACAATGTATCATTTAGACACACAGAAAAGGAACGTGTGTGCTTTCTCTATTGTTTTTCTCATTTGCCAACAATCTGTAGTTTTAGATTATCAAACAGATAGATCAACTTAACTGGCTAGTACATGGAAAAAAATCTTTCTAATAACCATCTATTAGCATAATCTATCGAGATGATTTCTCAAATTATATCATCATGATGCATATCAACTCTATAATGCATAATTGTTCCATTTATTTAATGTATGAGAACATATTGAAATATAAAACCATGTATTAGTCAAAAAAATGGAATACAGGTGGTGTTCAGATCAGCAAAACATTCATTCTGGCAAATGCCTGCTGGGGGTCATGATATCATTCTTAATGCAGGTTTTATGGGAAAACTAAAGGAATATGTTATTAGATGATGTCAGTTTTGAAAAAAATAAGACATTAACATACACATTAGCCCAGTTAATTGCATCCTACTAATATACTTGCACTTTAGCAATAATGTTGCTGTCTCTGGTCCTTATTTTGTGGCTCCAACTAACTAGATCATGTGGACCGCAAAGGCCCGAAGAAAAAATAAGTAATGGCTCATCATCCTACAATGCACTGCCACATCAATGTGACCTAAAAGTCTAACACTGTGAGGAAAACTGTGATTTGTAGGAAGAAAAACAAAAAAAACAGGGCATGTTTTTTAACTTTTTTTTCCACTTTCCTTTGGCACATCCAATGAAAAATTGTAATTTTTACTGAGGTGCTAACATCTTTCGTGACCAAATGTCAAATGCGGTATTTCTGAGTTACTATTTTTCTACATGATTTTCCAGTTTGCAAGGAAGACCTCTAAGCTTTTTGTCAGGGTAGGGCACAACTTGATACTCAAAGTTTGGAAAATAAGCCCATCCGATGATTGTTTTAACCAACAGTGGTCAGTGACAAACTGTATGTGCATCTGAGGACATTTAAGGGGTTATTAAAACTTGAAGAGCATCAGGCCAGAGTAGCAGACTTTTCGATGAGTCATATTTCAGCACTCACTAAGTCCTCAGCCTTTGATGTAAACTTTCACGTATATTTGCCCTGATTTTTTTTACAAGCTTTGCAATAGTTTAGGATAATAGCAAACACTTGGTGACTATATCTCAGCCTTTTCCTTAACAACTCACAATATGTTAGGAACATGTCTACCTATACTAAGAATATATTTACAATAGAAGACCACACTGTGTGACTTTGTAAAGCTAGACTTGATTAAGAAATATATAGTCTCTGGATGGTATTTTTGCATTACACACTCAGGCACGACATAAACGTAGATGGTTCATCTTGCTACAATTAGGAGTTGACAAACACTACTTACACATTTGTATGACCTATTAGTCAGAGGAAATCATACCCATGCTTTGTAAATAGACTTTGCAGATAACTAAATAGATTGAAATGTGTTGCATTTGATAGAAGCAATGGCACAAATATTTGGTTTCCATATTAGAATCTGTGAGTAAAGTCAAGTAATAAACCTAAGTAAGTATAATTGAGATTTTTAAACCTTGAAACTTGCTTTGATGGTAGAGAAAATCATTGAAGATTTACATACTGTATATAAGATGTAAATTGTAAGCTGCTTATTACCCTCAGTTTTTCAGAAGCAATGGCATATACTGCAGTTGAAAAACCAAAAATCTTGGAAAACTTTAAACTTTAAGACGGGTCTTGTTTAAAGTGTCTCTCAGCTTTGGCAACCTTCAAATCTTAATCAGCTATTTAAAGCATTACTGTGTCTTGTGGCCTCCATTCCACAACAGCTCTGTTATTCAGGTAAACCACTTGAACTGAGCCGTTTGGGACCTATACTGTAATATTTTTCATTGAGGAACAATATCCTATTTTGTAAAGCATTTCCCCATGTGTGACTTTAAACTGTAAAATTAAACATTATTTTTGTGGTTTCAGTGGGCATAATAAATATAAATTGTAAACTAGGTTAAAGTATGTACTGCATATAATATGCGTTAGAATTGGAAACTATTGTCCATTTATTTTTAATTTTCTCATGACAGTGGTAGCACCCAGCCGGGTCTCAGGGAAGCCCTAGGCTCTTTGTAATTCCCATCATTATTCGCCCTCTTTGTCATAGATAATTAACACTTTACCTTAGAGTTCTATGAAACTATTGCTTCAAGTTCTTTTTACCAGACTATCAACCCCTGAAGACTGTGTACTATTAAAATTCTGCTGTTAAATTAGAAACAGCAAGCAACATAACCTGCCACTTTATTTTTATTTTTTATATCTAAACTTAGTCCAGATATAAACAGTTGAGATAATAATGCATGCATAGAAATGCTTTTTAAAAAACCTAAAATTGACTCACAAAAGTCTATTTTATAACATTAAGCTTCCAAAGAGCTTTAATTCCCTTTAAAGCTGAAATCATTACTTTTTAGCATACATTTCAAACACGGAATTTCCCTCTCATATCAAATAGTATCTTAGAATTGTGGTACTTTAAATTTTCTCCTTAGGAGGATGTATACTTTTAACAAAATGATTTAAAACATCTATATTTTTTAAAAGATGGTTATATATATATATACATATATACATACATACACACACACACACACACACACACACACACACAAGCTATCAAAATATAGCTAAGCTTTATTCAACATCTCATTGAATTAGGGCCTGTGGTAATCACCCCATAAACTTTCTACTACAAATTTCTCCTCATGCCCTTTGGCCCTGGTGAGATTGGTATTAAGATTCCATATTACAGATAACAGTCACAATATATAGTAGCCATTAATTATTATCTAGTCCATTGGTGCAAAAGTAATTCCTGTTTTGCCATTCCTTTTATGGCAAAAACTGCAATTCCTTTTTCACCAACTGAATAGGTTTCATCAAATGCCACTGTTGTAAGCACCCTAGATGGTTGTTATCAATTGTTGGTTTCTGGAAGCACTGAGTCTTAAATCTTTTTGGACTGTGAATCTGAGTGAGGGATTGCAGGGTGGCTGGAGGACTGACTGTGTTAAGATTAGAGAAATGGAGGGAAGCGTTTAGGTGCCCTTACGTGTCGGACCCCTGAGTAAAAAGCAAGAACCATCCTAAAATTCCAATGAAAACGCTAAGGAAACTATGGAGAATCCGGCAAGCAGTAAGGATAGAGTTAGGAGCTGAGGTGGCATGGAGGATTGTTGTTTAAGGAGACAGGGCAGATCATTTGATTTAGAAAACTAAGAAATTGCTGGTAAGAGGGTTTTTTTGTTGTTTGTTTGTTTTGTTTTTTGTTGTTGTTTCTTTGTTTCGTTTTATTTTTAAGTTCACTATTTTACCTTACAGATTGGTAATGAGTTGGGTCAGACAAGGTCAAAGACATAAAAGTGGTCATGGGGTAGCTTTTACATTAGGAGTAGAATGAACAAAGGAGATGCTTAGAAATGGATTCCGGCCGGGCGCGGTGGCTCACGCCTGTAATCCCAGCACTTTGGGAGGCCGAGACGGGTGGATCACAAGGTCAAGAGATTGAGACCATCCAGGTCAACATGGTGAAACCCCATCTCTACTAAAAAATACAAAAAATTAGCTGGGCATGGTGGCGCATGCCTGTAATCCCAGCTACTCGGGAGGCTGAGGCAGGAGAATTGCCTGAGCCCAGGAGGCGGAGGTTGCGGTGAGCCGAGATTGCGCCATTGCACTCCAGCCTGGGTAACAAGAGCGAAACTCCGTCTCAAAAAAAAAAAAAAAAAAGAAAAAAGAAATGGATTTCTAGATGTTTGTGAAGTCCAAATCATCTCTAAGTCTCTTTAAAGCTGAAATCATTACTTTTAAGCATACATTTCAAACACGGAATTTCCCGCTTATATCAAATAGTATCTTAGAATTGTGGTACTTTAAACTTTCTCCTTAGGAGGATGTATACTTTTAACAAAATGATTTAAAACATCTATATTTTTAAAAGATGGTTATATATATATACACAGGCACACTGTTGGGTCTTTTTTGATATATTATTGTGTGTTTTATCTGTACAATTAAATTCATATTTTCCCACAAAATAAATGAGTATATATTATTCTGTAGACACAGGTGAGGGAGCACAGTGGAATAGCCCTGCTTTTTCTAATTACCTTCCATGTCTGTCACATAAGAAGACTCAAATCTCAGAATGATTAACCATCTGGGGCAGTATGTAGCCCAAGACCACACTCAAACGTGCATTCATAAGATTTTCTGCAATGTAGATTTCTCCGTCTACTTCCAGCTGCCTACAATGCTTTGTCTCCCTATTTAAGCCTCCATTGGGATTTGCCTTGAATTGGAATTACAGACATTTTATTGTTGTTATTTATTATGAGAAGCATCTAAATTTTGGAAAGCATGGAAGAATATTTTTTAATCACCTATAAGTAGAGTGCTTTCAAAAATAGTGGCTGAGCCACATTTTAGATTTAAAAAGAGTATTTTATCTACAAAAATGTTGAGAAGCATTAACTTCGTCATCTTCCAGATATATCTGGTACCTACTAGACATACATCTGGTACCTAGACTGTTTCCTTACTGTCAAGCTCCTTTACCATTCCTCTGCCTGTTCAAAGATGTTGCTTTGAACACTCAAAGATATTCAAAGCAAGATCTTGCTCCTAGAACCTTAGTTGTATTTTTAGGCAGTTTCAAGATAGAAGCTCAGAGATTGGAGATGAATAGATTGAGGCAGAAGATACAGAAGACACAAGAGCCTATATAGGGAGGATATTAGGGAAGTGCCTGACTATGACCAGCTGTGGGAATGCCAGACAGAATATTAGTATATGAGAACAAGCAATAGGTGTCGCTTTTTTAAAGATTATCTTAAGAACAACCAGTTCACAGCTCCTCCACTGCTACCACATGAGTAGAATCCTTGAATCTTTTCTGTCCTCAACAACAGCAAATGCCTCTGTATGGGACTTCCTGCTGCCTTCACAGCCAAACTAATCATGAAAAACATTAAGTGAGATCATTGAACTCCTCTGCCAAATATTCTCCAACACCTTCCTATCTCCTGAAAGTAGGAAATAATCTTTTTTCCATGGGCTTCAAGGTCCCACGGGATCTGATACCACCAACTTGTCTGATTTCCTTTCCTTTACTCACGCCTTCATTCACTCTCCAGCTACTTTGCCTCTCTGCTATTCTTTACAGCAACAAGTTTAAACCCTGTCCAGAATCATTTGCCTAAAACACTCTTCTCCAGGTATACACTGGCTTCCTGGCTTCCTTCAAGTCTCTACTTAAATGTTATCCCTCAGGGAAGTCATCACTGACCACCCTAAATTAAATAGATACATTCCTCCTTCATTTCTGTTCATGTCACTTTTAAGTTCCTGAAACTTCATCATGTCCTCACTTTCATAAGTCTGTTATCCCTATAATACACCCAGGTGTAGAAACGTACATACTTTGAGAGCATGCTCTTTATTTTTTTATCATTGCTGTATTATCAGCTCCTAAGAAGGTACCTGGCATATTTTCAGTGTTCAATAAGTACTTGTTGAATAAATGACTGAATCAATAAATTGATGGCAATCAAGGCAAATAATAATTATTAATGGGTTCAGGAAATGGTTGATGTCTCCACAAAATGGGGAAAATGTGGGTATGTAAATATTTTAACAAGTAATGCTGTCAAAAAAAAATTCTTCAGAAAAAAATCAAGCCAAGGTTAGGCCCAAGAAGTAGAGGAGCCATGGTTGATGGGTAGTAGCAAGAACCTGGCTACTTGATTGTAAGACAGATCTTCAGTTCCTGGTATGACACCAACATGGAAGACAAAATTCTAAAGATGTGGCCCCATAGTTCCTGTCCCTTGGTCATTCAATCAAAAACAAATTAAGGTACTGCTATGAAAGTATTGTGCATATGGAATTAATGTTAATAACCAACAAAACTTAAAACAGGAAGATTAGTCTAGATTAATTTGAGAGATCAGTTTAATCACATGAATTCTTAAAAACAGAAGAGAAAGGTAGAAGGGGAACTTAGAAGAATTCCAAGCCTGAGAACAAGTCTGTGCACCACTGCTGGCTAGGAAGATGGAGAAAGGGATCAACAGCCTAAAGGATTCAGGCAGCGTCTAGAAAGCTGAGAACAACACGCGGCCAACAGGACAGCCAGCAGGGAAATGGGAACCTCAGTTCTACAACTGCCAAAGAAAAATGAATTCTAGCTAAAACATGAAGGAGTTTATTGGAATCAGATTCATCGTCAGAGCTTCTAGAAAGAAATGCATCCCTGCTGACACCTTGGTTCCAGCCTTGTAAACCCAGAGCAGAGACCCGGCTGAGCTCTGCTGAGCTTGGATATCTATGAACTGTGAGATTATAAATGGATTGGTAAAGCTGCTGAATGTTTGGTACTTGTTATGGTATTAATAGAAAATAAATGTACACGTGAAAACAGGAAGAATCTCAAGCTAGAGTGGATTATTAGAAAGGCTATCATGTTAGATCCATAAGAAGAATGAACAAGGTCACAATCCAGTTATTGGGGTCAATGCAGGATTTTTTGTCTTCTCCTTAGCTCACCTAGGTCCGGATTCTTGCCTCACAACCAGGAAGAATTAGGCAGGCAGACATCAGAGAGTGAACAGAGTAGAATGTATTAAATGAAAGGGAAGCTCTCAGCAAATAGAAAATATAGAGGGTGCTTCTCTTACCCAAAAGCATGAAAGTCCCCTAATATGACTGGACCTGGGGCTTTGCAGGTTTTTCAGGCTTCTGCTCCCTCTTCAGGTATTCTAAGGGCCTTTCTATGTGGCCTCTTCAGCAGAGTATTCTTACAAAGTGGCTCAGGATTCTAAGAACAAGCATTTCCAGAAAACCAAGTGGAATCTACAAGGATTTTATGCTTAAGCCTTGGAAGTCCCAGAGCATTCCTTTGTAACACATCTAATTGAAAATTAAAATTAAACATTTCACAATGCATGAA